GTGTGTGTGTGTGTGTGTGTGTGTGTGTGTTCTCATTACAGGTGAGGACTCAACTCTTCTGCACAAACCTCAGGGCATCACCACCCCTCTCTATGTCTCCGTCCAGCCCATTAGAAGCACAATAGAGTGCTCTTAAAAATATCACAAGGACAGATTGCATTAAGTTTTCATGAGTTTCCTGCATGCAGCTCCCATGAGACGGCTTCCCTGCTGCACGGCCAGCTGCAGCCGAGCTGGGAAGTCCAGAAAACACCCGGTGGCTGAGGAGAAATCCACCAACAGCACAATGAGCCCTGATGCTGCACAGTTACTCAACCTGAGTGCATAACCTAAAAATACTTTTTTTAAAAACGGCATTAGCAGAGCAGTTGGGACTAATTAGTGAGGCTGACCCTTGTTCTATAAGGTTTCAAAGCAGGGAAAGTAAGCAGCAGACGTTAAGCTGTGTACCTAAGTTGTTTGGCAAGTTCACAGAGTTCTGGCAAACAAAGTACCAGATCTCAGAAGTGACTAAATAATCAAGCAAAGCAGCTACAACCAGTTTTACTTGCTGCTGGAAAACTAACAATTGATGTGCAACCAGATGCCCCAAATTAACAAGACATAATAAGAGTTAGTAGTGATGTAGTTGGACAAAGTAGTCATCTATGGAGTTGTTGTGGTGGTACTATTTCACTGTGTAATTTTATTTTCATAATTTAAACAAAGAAATGGGGGAAAGGGTTATTTGTGAATTTGTTGTGCATCAAAACATTGTTCATCTTTTGAGCTTAGAAGCTTATTTACATATAAATTGTTTATTGTGTTGCATCAGTGAACAACAAAAAGGGAAGGAAATTTTGTTTATAACAGCTTACGTTCAAAACAAACTTGTTTTATGATAGCAAAATAAAAAAATTAAAAAAATTTATGTACATTCATGATTTACATGTATTTGTTCATTAATACAAGTAGAGCATGGTAAAACAAATAAAATAAACGCACAAGGAGATTGTTAAAAAGCAATATTGAAATTAAAACTGTTATTTTCCTGACTTCAAGCCCAGATTTCTGATAAAGAAGGTCGAAATTTTGACTTTAATCTGTYTCAGACTTCTAAGAAAAAAAAAGTCATAATTAAGACTTTAATCGAGTTCTCGGGGGGAAAAAAAGGCAGAATTCTGCGTAAAAAGGCAGAACTCAGGAGGCAAGTACACTTCGCTGCAGCATGCAGCTCGGGGCTGCAGCGAAGTGTACCTCTCAGGAGGGGGGAGGGTCTAATCCTCTTCCGTATTCGGGGGAAAATGAAACTCCGGAAGAGTTTTGTTTGTCCCGACGCGTTTTTTTTTTTCAGGTCTCTTCTGATTGGCTGCAGCGCGGACCAATGAGAAAGAAAAGCGCGAGGAGAGAAAAAAATGGAGGACAGAGTGAATCAAAACATTGTTTCTGCCGCTTTAACACACTAAAAACGTCGATGACAACGCTCATTTTCACAGTTAAGGTTGTTAAATAACATTTATTTACTCATTCGAACCGTGGATAAGCTTTTAAGACGTTTTAAGGCGGCTAGCTGAAGTAAAATGTCATTTTCGTCTGAGTCTTTGGCTCAGAAAAGGACTCTGTCGAGCCTCCTCGGTGAGTTAACGGTTCATTTCATTTCCAAAAAATACAAGTATTCCCTAAAAACCTACAGTAGCACCACGATAATGCAATAAAGTTCTAAAATACAACTACCTTATTCAACAAAGTTTGAGTTGTGTTGTTATTAATTTGTTGCTTTGGCCTCAGCTGGTCGTGTTGTGAAGAGGCCAAAGCAGGAAGATGGTCAGCGCTTACACGAAGCTGCGATCCAGCTGTTGGAGCAGAATCAGAACATCTGCAGCTTGTTCAAAGAGTTGGGGGTGAGTGATGAGGGGAAACCTGCTGTCTTTTCAGCCAACAATTAAGCAGTTGCACAGTTGTGTGCTTTGTTTAAATACTTTGTGTATTTATATGATCACTTACTGATGTTAAGTTGCATGTTTTTTTTTTTTTTTTGTAGCAGAACCCAGATCAGTGCAACACATTCTGGTGTCAGAATGAAGAACAGAAGCAAGCAGCGTTCAAGGAAACCTCTGTTGCTGCATCGCTGCTGGGTGAGTGTTTGATACAAACCCACAGAAATGTCCAAATTTCATGTTGAAAATCGACCTGAAAAACACCTGCTGTTAGACACAAGTTTCACCTATCTATGCCACAAAGGAATCTTTTATATTTGGATTGTTACGTTAAAAAAAAAAAAAAAAAAAAACCTCGCCTTTGATATAAATGAAGTTCGTTGCATTTTCTGTGGACAGGATGTGAGCTGAGGCGCCAGGCTGCTCAGCTGGGTGTCCCTGTCACAGCGCTGTCTGTGAAAACAATGCTGGCAAGACTAAATGAAATCACTGAGGAAACTGATGAAAAACAAGAGGAGGAGGATGGGAGGAGAGAGATGCTTACGTCCTCTCAGACAGTGAGTATGCTGTATATTAAACCAGTGGTTCCCAAACTTTTTATCTTCYGACCCACAAAATATCCATGGCAAAAACTTGTGACCCCAAATATTACTGGTCTGAGTACACAAACTTTATTAATAACCCTAAAAACACAGGCTTTTTGACAATCTAAACAGCTTGTACACAAATATAAATACTTATTTGTACTTATTTTGTGCTTTTGTAATAATTATAGGGAAAATATTACATCAGCAATTATTTTATTACCCTTTAMATTGATTTCTGGAGATTATCCAAGGTGCTTCATGACCCATAATTGGGTCCCAAGCCCAACTTTGGGAACCAAAGTGCAGTGGTTCCCAAACTTTTCAGCTTTTGACCCACAAAATAACAGTAGCAGAGACCTGTGGCCCCAAATATTTTTGGATGATAAACATTTGTATCAGGTCAACAAAACATGGGCATAGTAACAATATTTTTATACTACATTTATCCATTTTAAATACACTAACCTCACTCCTTTGTAACAACTAAGGCAAAAATGGAATTAATTCAGAAAATCTTTTCAGGACCCCACCTTGATGTTTTGGGACYCCACTTTGGGTCCCGACCCCAACTTTGGGAAACACTGTATTAGAGGATGGTGAGAAAAGATTTAAAAAAGCGATTGTACTTCTTTAGGTAAGGACTTTTTGTCAGCTAAATTTAATTTAACAATTTTTAATCTTTCTGAATAACAAACAAAAGTACAAACAAACTTTTTATAGTTTTTGTTTTGTTTTGTTTTGTTAATTGAACAGAGAATACATCTAAAACTAAAGCTTAAGTCTTAAATTTGTTGTAAACTTGAGTCACAGTGACTTGACTCTCTGGTCAACCTCCGTCATGCTGCAACAGTTCCTCATGTTGAGAACAGTCGCTTCATCTCATCTGTGTTGCAGATCTGATGGCAGATTGTGACATTCGTAGCTCAACTCATTTGACTCCACAGAGTTTTAACTCTGCACTTTACGTTTTGTCTTCTGCAGGCCCAGTTGTGTGCTCTGTTGCAGTCCAGCAGAGAGCTGCTGACTCAGGGAGTTCTCTGCCCCAAACTGCTCTGGCAGGAGCTCAGGAGAGATCAGGTGTGTGCACAAGAAACATCCAATACAGTRTTGTTAGGTTGCCCTCCTGAAAAAAATATTTTCTTGTTGATACATCATTTTGTAAAATGTATTTAGTAGGAATTTTACATAAAAAGTAAATCATAAATAAATTTTAAAAAAGCTGTTCACACATTTGACTTTTTAAAGTACCTGTGAAATAATTTTTTTATAATAAATATGAATGCATTTTTGGAAAGGTACCATTAATTACAAATTATTTAAAAAACCACGCTGCTGAGATGAACARTTGTTGAGATCTTCACATGTGAAACAACAGGAAGTGATGTCAAAGTGGAATGACATGTGAACTAGGGCTGCCACAAACGATTATTTTTATAATCGATTAATCACCGATTATTTTTTCGTTTAGTCGACTAATCAGATAATACGTCAATTGAATATAAACATACAGCTTATCGTGCCAGAATGCAGCTGCTATTATATAACCATGGTTAGATTTTAGCTATATGCTAACTAAAAATAATTGCTGTGGAAGGCAAGTTCTGCCTTGCAGATTTTGCATTGCACAGGTTTCTCTTTCATTTTCTTAAAATGATACCAGAGCCTGTCTGTATAATGTCTTGCGACGTCCACGGCCAATGCCAGTTATCACTACTGCGCATGTGAGTCAAGGACAGAAAGGCAGATGTGGCAGTGGAAGGTGTCAAAGCAGTTTGGAGAGAAAAACAAAGTAAAAAACAAACAAAAAAAGAAAACGATTAATCGATTATTAAATTAGTCATCGATTATTTTAATAATCGATTAGTCGTCGACTAATCGTGGCAGCCCTAATGTGAACAGAGTGTTGCTACAATAACTAACAATACAGACTGTAGAGAATAATCTGATGCTTTTTAGATTATTTTGAGTCACTATCAGAGAGGTGAAGAAGAATCAGAGTTCCATACATAAAAAAAGAGTTCACTCTTAGAGTTCCCCTTWAATGTCACTTCCTGTTTCATTTTGACTGAGCCAAGTTGAAAAGAAAATATGCCAGTTGTGTGGWAAAATGGGTAAAATCATGTGTATTATGACAAGTTTCTTGGTGTTTTCTTTAACGTTTTTGTATCTTAGGAATATGCACATCACAGGAACTTTAAAGTATAATAAGAAATGTGTCGTTATTTTCAGAAGCTTCCCAGACTGGAGGTGGTGTACTATCTTCATTTTTACAACATCCTAACTCTGAARTACATTGTAGAAAGGTAAAGTGTATTGTTCTATTTTTAAATTTGTTGTTTACTATTTTCTTTGTAAAACATTACCTTAACAAGATCAGAATTCACCAAAGCTGTGAAAGTCGGCATGATTAATAGGTTTTCATGAACGTCAGAAGATTAAAACTTATTTATATTTATATTCTCCTAATGTCCATGTAAGAAATACGTGTTTAACATCGGCTGAATTCAGATGAAAACACAAGTGTTAAATAAGATAATCTGTGATAGGAAATAAATGTCATACAACCCAGAATTCTGGAGAGACGAGTGAGGTTTATTTGTCACCGGCTGACAAGCCAAACCACGCTGAATGAAAAACAGGAAGTTCCCTTTTATATGTATATTGTACACAATTCTTCAATGCCTGAGTTCGCCCTCTGCTGACCTACGGTTGAATCACAGGCATTCAGACAAAGACCTCACACTAATGGTTTAAAAAACAGTTACTTATGTGTTGCTATRTAATTCGGACATGTAGCTACTYTATTTCAATTAACACATAATAGATCAAACATTATAAAAATGTTATAAAAAGAAAACCCTAATACTCTGGTGTTGTTTCTAATATCAGTACTAATCTATAAATAACTAAATTTCTTCATCCAGATAAAAAGTCTAATTCCAAATATATGTATTTGTAAATATAAAATACCAAACCCAGAGTTGCTTGTTGTGGTGATTATGTGTTGCAGCTTTATTTCATTTAAGGCCCAGCTGATTGTGTAAATGTGTGAATTTATATGAAAATCAATCTTTATTGATTTTCAGTGATGAAGGTGTGCGATCCTGGTTGGTGCCGCAGTTGAAGTTAATGTGTGGGTGGAAGCCTCCGCAGGGAGAGGTGGAGACCAAACATGTTCAACAGGAAGTTTTGTCAAGTAAGGAAACGTTTCTTTCATGACTTTAACAACAGTCCTCCTGTTCGCTAATTAACTTATTAAAACTTGATTAATATCTCAGTAGCTTTACGCTGCAACTTTATATATCAGACATTTTGGTTCGTTACATCCCAAAGGATGACAACCATACAGCAACTGGAGCGGAGTGGAGCAWATACTCCGACACTAATCGATAAAAACTACTTGTATCTTTACTCTGATCTGATTGGGTCATTGCTGTCGTAGACACGTCTGGTTTGAGCACCCACTCTTGTGTTTCAGCTGTGATTGGCGTCTTGGTAAAAACGGGGTTTGATCAGAGCCGAGACGCAGCCGCTGCAGACAGAAAGCTCTCCGTTCTGTGCTGCTCGATGTTGGATGAAATGCTCATCTGTGAGTCCAAACGTCCTCAGTCCACGTATCCCTACTGTTTGGGATTCATTCAACCACTTTGATTCAAACTGCAATACTTTAAATGCCATTATCTGTTAATAAAATGGGATTTTCCCTGTTTTTTTTTTTTTTTTTTCAGGGCTTCTGGAAGCTGCAGATAAATGTCTTCCAGTGCAGTCCTGTGAGGGAGGAGCTCAGCTATGGTCCAGCCTTTTTATGTTTACACAGTTTGTCATCTATCAGTTTTCGTGCTTTACACACTGAGTCACCACCATCTTTGCAACTCTGGGTTGTTGCCGTAATTTAAACAGGAACACCGTCTTTGACACCTTTCAGTCTGTCAGAAAATCATCTTTAGATAATACAAGATTCTGTTGCATTTAAGGGGACATATCCTGCAAAACTCACTTTTTTAGCTGTTAAACACATTTTGTCTCCAGGAGGCAGAAAAGTTGAATTTAGTCTTTCCTGTTGCTGCAGAGATATCTTTATATTCTGTTTGGGTCATATTTTTCAGCCCGTTCAGTTTTCTCTATCTTCTATGACGTTTTCTGATCTATTATGTTAAATAATCTGCAACAGAATTACCATATAAAATCTGGACTTACCAACTACAATTTCCTTGTCTTCATTTTCTGGTTCTGGGTCAGACTCCGGCTCCAACATGTAAGGCTGGATGGACAAGTCTTTTGTTGTTGACATATTTTAATTAAATTGTAAATAAAACATCTCTACACCGCAAGTAAATGTGACCCCCTCTATCTCAAACTGGAGTGGAGCAGATTTAAAAGCAGGATATGTCTGCTCTAGTGTTTTTGTTTTCTGTTATGTTCCTGGTCATGAATTTTGACCATTGTTGTCGTATTAAAAACACCTGTTTCCTTATTCTCCTGGTTTGTGTTTGTTTACAGGATTCAGACATTTGATTCTTCGCTTTATGGGGTATCAGTTTCTCCTGAAGCCCTTCAGAGTTTTTTCACTCACTCCCTCACACAGACTCTCACCTACAACCCTCAACTGACAGGTGAAAAACAAAAAAAAAAAATAGTCCATCATTTTAAAAACTTTAAATTTGAAAAATTATATTTTTATTTAACATTTTTATATCTATCAATGTCTTCATAAAGT